AAATTCAATATTCGTGCAGTTTTGTCAACCCCTTCTCAAGTTGAAACTTCCAATTTCGAACAAAAACTCCTCATCAAGTTTCAAGCTTTATCGAAAGTGCAAGCCAATCCCATCCAGCCAAAATTTCTCATTTGAGCTCTCATTCAGTTCTTCGCACGTATTTTTGTGCTCCATTTATCAAATTTGGGCATTTCTTTTACCTTCACCTTCCGCTGATAATTTGCTTCAATGAACTCATTTGTCTTAATGGAAAGTACAAACAAAGCAAATGAACCTTTGTGTTCATGTCCTTGAACTGTCGATCAACATCTAGGAAATCTTTGGTTGCGGCTGTGAAGAAATTCGACAGTACGGGTACCAATCGATCGTCGTTTTCGCTTTTCGCTCCTTCCCCTTCAGAGGTCCTTGCTTGAGCAACTATGCTGTGCTCTCGGTGGCGTAATTCTTCGGATACTTTCGCCAAGCAACCACGTAACGATTGAAGCTCTTGCTCGATCTCGGCACGACTAAACTGATCGATTTTCTCATAGTCAGACTGGATTCGCCCATAGTTAGGCAGCCAAATTTGGTGCTATTCATGCTAACATTCAAATTTCCTCTGTGATGCGGAACGAAGAAATATGCTTTGAACGGAATAAAAATTTTGATTAATTTACGAAGAAATTTAACGGAACATTAAAAAACCGGTCTTAAAGATACGTTGGGAATTAAAAATATGTGCTAAAATTTTTGTTTTAGACCGAATTCTCTGAAGTTGGTACAGCTCTGTACACAATACGAACATTCAGTTAACGTCGGTTGATGCACAAACACAGAAAACTCTCGGTCTTGTAACATTGAAAAGTGGCACATTCGATGCACATACCTATGTCTTGCTGCTTCATGAACACCACAGAAATCACGTTTTAAACGGTTGATTTCAGGAAATTTCTCATCAGCGATACGAATCAAATAGTGCAGAAGATTCTGATCAGATCGCGACGAGCAACGTACATCCGTTAAGACACGTAGCGAATCCAGTGTAAATCCTTCAAAAACATCAACATTTTCCATTTTGATTTGATTGCTAATGTTATTATTCAATCGGCAGTTTCAAATCTTATTCAACACTTACTTTAAGTTGCAATTCATAGAGAAGAAGTGAACGCACACTTTTTCAAATCCTTTCGAACGCTTTTTAAGACGTTATCTTGAGTTTTCAAAAACGCATAACTCTCATGAATTATCTCAAGTTCCATATGTATTCTCTCTTAAGACGCTGCTTCATACGGATGGTAGAAACACCAGTTTGTCATAACTTTGTGGTCATTTACGAAGTGAATGTATTCACTGTGAGAATGGTATATAATTGGACATGAACACCATTTCGCATGCTTCAAACTATTCGGATTAACATAACAAACCTGAAGCATTGCCATTACGTTTCCCATAATTCAAGTAATTCCCTACTGCCAAAATCAGTCGAAGAAGGGATTTGAAACGTTTACTGCCGGCAACGGATGTTGAAGCGTTCGATATGGCTGCAATTTGAATTCCTTCATAAGCTGATTGCAAGAATGTACGAATTTTCATTGTTATGGAAGCATCGAACCGAATTCGTCGCAAATATCGCGATACCGCGAACGAATCGTTTATTGAGCACTGACATTGACTGTGATTCACAGTCAAGCAATTGCTAGACTGCGGGACTATGAATCAACGAAGATCAAAAATAAAGCATTCGTTTCACTCGAAAGAGCGACTGAATGCAATATAACAAACATAGTTCCTTACAGATCAGGGTGTCCGTTAAAGAATTACTCAAAACCAATAGGACTCCAGCAATGACTTGATTTACCTTGAATATTTGTAGAAACATCATCGAGTCTTTCTTTGAAAGTTGTTAAGATGAATAAACATCGTAGTCGCTGCTCATATCGAGAGATACTGAAAAATTACAAAGGAAATACCAAATTTCCGTCAAATTACTCATTTCAAGTATTCAAAGAGAAATATCAGAAATGACACAAGCCAATCAGCCGAAAATGTTCGCACGATTTTGCGACATAAACAGAAACAGAGTTACACTGATAATTGTGAGATATGTACTTGCGATATTCTACAATGCAATGAAATGTGGATCATCCGAGAAGAAGAAATGTCGCGTTTAAGAATGATAAATCATCCAACTCACTTGCTAACTTCATAGAGGAAACGATCAGCAATTGCTAGTATTGATGAAGAGCCGCCATATTTTTGAACGGTTTCCTTCAAACGCGCAATCTCTTCTTTGGTCGGAACGAACTTCAGCATCTGGAAATATAACAAAATAGAACTACTGGATGCGGAGGATTTAAACTGCTCAAGATTGAAATGAAATATTGAACTGACATTGAAATGAAATATCTGAATTCAACACTGAATTAGAAGAAAGTATCGTCCAAAGTTTACGTAAAAGTGGTCTTCACCGGAAATCGCTAATCAACATTCACCAGAATCAATAGAAATGAGCGAAAGTTGGGAAGAATTTTAGAGCACCTGTTCTAACATGTCTCGAGGTAATTCATCGTATTGATCCATTGATAAGAGTGCCTTCTTGATTTGTTTATTGGACAGCCTCAACTTTGACAGCATTATCGTGCAGTTTTGTGCACGTCTTGGCTCGATGACGCTGATCGCTGAAGCAGACGATCCTTTGCTTCGACGTCGTAACGTTTCACTCACTGATTCAGCTTCTTCAACGACACCTTTTGCCATCGAGAAGTTCTCTGATAACTCGGCCAAATCGAGCTGAAAATCGGTACTCGCTAATTCAATCACTGTCAGCTGTGCAAATGAATCGAGCCCTTCTACAATGAATTACATAATGGAAAGTCAGTGGTAGAGTAATAATTGAATGGAATGCCAACCTGCTGATACAATTTCTCTTCGTCAATCTTCTCCCAAATCGTACCGGCTATTTTGTCGTCAGCGATTGCGGTCCAATTCAACGATTTCATGGGACCACTCGGTTTCGGCACATTCTTCTTCAGTGTGCATTGAGCGCCACGTCTACTTGTCGCATGTCCATCACCAAATGTTCGCAGTTGATCCAAGGTAGGTGGAGGCGGCGGTGGAGGAGCACCAATCGGTGGACAAATCGGTGGTAGGGATAAGGACCGAGGTGAATGGCTGGGATCGCTTGGTGAGAAAGACTCTCCACTGAGTCTGAAATATTCAAGTAAAATTAATCGAGCACTCTACAATGTGATATTCTCTCGCAATAGTAAAGATATCAATAACACTTGATTCACTACAGATATGTTATGTTGAAATGCGATGAACACGCTGATATCACTATGACAGATATCTTCGTAAATAAGAATCATGGCAATAACCAGCTTTGACCAAATCAATATTCAAGTTTTCTGGTTGGAAAATATTCTCATAGAACATTGAACAGTAAAAATTTAAACTTATTATAATCGCAAGTTGACATTGAAAGGTTGATCGTTTATAGCTCAAAAATTTTATTGTTGTACTGAGGTATTTAGAATAAAAAAGATGAATTCATCTGAACAAGACCTTGAATAAAGGGATTGTCCATCAGGATCACTTAGCCGAGTTTGTAGCTCTAAAGAATTGTTCCGTTCTCTTCTCAGTTCCTCTTCCAGATCATCATGCGCTTCTTTCAGTTTATCATAATCGTGTTGAGTTCGTAACCTATGCAATACACATTTTATCAATACTGATCATAAATTTCAAGGCATACGGCTATCAAAAGAGTCATTTTTGAGGGAGAAAGTCAGTTTAACTGATCGTCTCACCTTGATAAAACTTCATCCATATCAATCTGAACGACTGACTGTGTTAAATCTGCGGCTACAACTGCATTCAGCGTTGTTTGTAGGCTCAACTGTTGTAGAATCATGTCGAATAGCCTGAAAAAAAGTGCATGAATCTGAATTCGCAGCCATTTTGATCGCTGGCAATCACAAAATTGCCCAACGTCTCAAGCGTTTATAATCACCTCCAAATGTGAATGCTTTTCTCATCAACAGGGATATGAATAAGATGTTGAAGCATTGATAGGAAGTGTGGCAGAGCCAGAGTTGACGCCAATCGGTTGGCGATATACTCGGCAATCTCGCTTGCACTATCCAAATCTATTGGTGTAGAACTCCGCGATTCATCTCTGAAAGAAATGACGAGAACTAAAAGCATTTCTGCACTTCAGTCACGCTTACTTTCAGCTGGCATGCAATATGATCTGTAATTGTAAATGAAATTCCTTTGCTTGAATTTGAACTTTTATCAACCGAATATCATCGAGTGTCATCGTTATAAATCAGAGATTCATCTCCAGCAGTTGACTTTCTGAGGCGGTCAGCATATGAGAGCATAGTGTTCGTCCAATGAAGAACGGGCTTACCTCAAGAAATTTTGCTCGTCGTCTTGCCGACTCATTTCAAAAAAATCGATATGATCGGAAAGTGTCGACGATGAAGAGTCCCGCATTGAATCGAGTACACCTTGAAGACCAAGCGTTAGCATTTCGACTCTCAAATGCATACGAACCTCTAAGGAATTCTGAAATTTAGTACGGTCAATCGTGTAATTTGTTGAAGCCCATAACTGACACACACACAAGGTGGGCGATTGATTCCCAATTAACATACTTCAGCTGATCCAGTACTAAGCAGAGCGTTAATAAGGCTCATAGCAGCCGTGCGAACTCGCTCGGTTTCGCGTTCAGAACGGTAATTCCGATGTAGATCGTTGAGAATCGTCTGAAATCGGGTCCTCTCACCGAGAATCACACTCGCCTCACTCAGTGCACGCAACACTTTCTCGTGACCATCGTTGATCAAACATATTCCCGAGAGGATTTCAAGACATAACACCTGAAAGTCACTTAAACTTATCATCTAAAAACTGAACAATATCCATGAATTTTTCATAAAGTTTACGAAGT